AGTCATATACACACAGCCAGCATCATCCATCAGTGACTTAGGACCTGGGCTCTGAGCTGTCCTGGAAGAACCAGAGTATCAGCTGCATTGTTAGTGCTTCCGGGGCTGAGTTGATGCCCTGAGAACTGACTTAGTTTGAAAGCCCTTATTTGCAGTGAAAGACCTTTCTGAACGTTTTTATCCTGAGCTGGATCAAATTCCCAAAGCCCATCGCATACAATCTCCCACAATTCCTCATCCCCACCATGAAACAAGCAGAGGATTTTCCCTGCTCTTGAAGATTTGCAATTAAAATGCTCTCGAGTTGATTTAAGTCTCCTTACTCCTAGAAAAACTCCATGTGTTTCACTGTTACCATGGAGCCTTTTCCCTACAGAAGGGGCTAATGCCACAAAGCCACTTCCTCTCATGGCGGAGGCTGTAGAGAGCTGAGAGGAGCCTATTTGTTGGGTTGGTCATTTAAGTGATTTGCTAGCCAAGAAGGCCCATTTCAGTCTGTATTTTGTGGTTAGCACAGAGACATACCGCTGAGGCTCCTGAACCGAGGAGCACAGGCCAGTTGCAAACAGCTGATACTTTCAGGCTGAATTGCGTGACCTGAGGGCCCCATTCCCCTTGTGGGGTCTGTCCCTTTGGATTCTGTTGGACCCAGAACATAAAACAGTGGCCATTATTCTGTTTTCAAAAAGGTCAGTAGTTTGTTCTTCCTCTGTTACCAGGGAGCTGGGTGTGGGAGGCAGAATGATGCCCCCCCTTCCTCCCACCGTGCCCATGTCTAATCTTGGGAATTGAGGATGTGTTATGTTATGTAGCAAGGGGGAATTAAGGGTCTGAATGGAACTCAGGTTGCCAATCAGCTGACCTTAATATAGGAAGGTTATCCTGGATTTCCCACATAATCATGAGGGCCCTAGAATGTGGAAGAAGGAGGGAGGCAGAGTGACGTGGCATGAGGAAAGACTCGACTGGTCACTGTTGGCTTTGAAGACAGAAGGGGTCCATTAGCCAAGGACTGTGGGTGGCTTCTCGAAGCTGAGAAATTCTCCACTGAAGCCTTCAGAAGGGACCCATCCCGACCAACACCTTATGTTAACCCAGTTAGATCCATTTTGGACTTCTCATGTCCAAAACTGTAAGAGAATAAATCTGTGTTGTTTTAAGCCACAAAATTGGTGGTAATTTGTTAGAGCACCAGTAGGAACCTAATACATTACAGTATCTGTGGGACTCAGTGTCCATGGGCGAAAGAGGCAGAAACTAGATACAGTCCATGATACAGAGGGGAGACAGGTGCGCAATCGCGTGGAAAGAGCTTGAAATCAGGCCAAGGGAAGACAAAAACTTCTTATCTCTGCTCAGACCTCATCTGCTTCCAAATGACACACAGGAGTCCACAGTAAGTGGCAAAGACAGAATTGCATTGTGACATCCTCCTGCTGAGAGCAAAAGTTCTTCGGGGCAATTCTGTTGTTCTGGTCCTTGCCTGACACGTGGGTTTGCTGACAGTGTCACTGTCATTGTCAGCTCCCTCTGATGTGGCCCAGGGTAGTGTCTTCCCTTTTTCCTGCCCTACCCCCTGCCGTAAAACAGAGCAGGTGGGCTGGCCTAGGTTGGTTTGGTCAGGCCGGCCGAGGCCCCTCTGACACTCAGACAGCTTTCCCTAACCCAGAACAGCCAAGCTTCACCATCCGGCTCCTGATTTTGCTCATCTTAAGCCAACTTGGAGGAATGCCCACTGCAAGCACACCTGCCTTTCAGAGCGCAGTTCAGAGCAAAGCCCATCTCCACAACAATAAAGCAACAAGGGCTGGTTTCTAATTCCTTCATTCTCACCATCATTCAAGATATCTGCAAGCCCCTAAATCTAAGCCCCACCCTAGGGTTTCCATCAGTTCCCTTCTTCCAGGAGCTCTCTCAACACCTCCTCACCTAGACTCTAGTTGACAATGCAGCCACAGTGCCTCCCAGTGGCCAGTGAGCAGAAACAGCACAAAAGTTCCCTTGCCAGGATGGAAGGAGAGGTGTGCTTTGTTTCACTGAGTACAAAGGATATAGGCTATTATGATTTGTTGATGTTAGAGGATCAATAAATAAAATTATCTTATTATGGCCTAAGATGGAACCCCCTAAGAATTAGACTTTGGAGTCAGACAGGTGGAGATGACAATGTCGGTTTTAATATTGGTAAGCAACAGGGCTCAGATGTGAAACCGAGTGAGCTGGCGAACACTACGCTGAATCAGAATTTAACTCATTTTCTCTCCCCTCCAAACTACAAGGCACCTGTCAGAAAAGAAAGTTCCCCACTAATCTTAGTGCATGTTGAGGAAACATGAAAGAATCGATCTCTTCTTGAGGTAGCAAAGAAGAAAGCGAGAATATAGAGACTAAAGATGAAGAGATTAAACAAGTTATTTGCCTTCTCATAGAGAAGATGCAGTAAGCAAAAGGAAGATTAGAACAGGAGGATTACTTTAGGGAAGTCCCCTAAAATGGGGAGTGTGGAATAGTGTTGTCCCAGGAGACTGGGTTTTCATGGGGAAGGACAGATAGCAGCATATCCGTTACTCTCCCTAAATCCAACCACTGCTCCTTGGGCATACGCATTAAAATACATAACATAACATAACATAACATAACATAACATAACATAACATAACATAACATATAAAACCAAGCACAAATGTGTCTCAATAGCAATAGATTTCTAAGTCTATTCCATGCTCTCTGACCAAGTCTAAATAGTCTCTTCCTATCTTATTTCTCGTTTTGCCACATGGTCCAATTGAATGTCAGAGGTTATGCGATAAAAATAAAAAAGATAATAAAAATGCTCCAATAATAAGACAAAAACAAGTAGATATCTCCATTTGATTCCAAGTTCCCTTTAAGTTTTGTTGTTGTTTAATTTTGGTTGAAATTAAAGTGTAAATCTCTGTCATTTAAGTTAGATGTTAAAGAAATCACAGACTAAGAATCTAATGTTAATTAACTATTATTTTAAAATTCCACATCAAATTATTTTTACCGTAATCCCAGGAATTACAGATGAGAACGCTTGCATCAATGTTTCTTTATTATCTAAATAGTTGGACAAAATAACATCAAAAATTTCAATTAGTGTCCTAAAAATATGGTGAGGGACACTAGACAGGGATCTTGGAGGGGGCAAATGCCTAGAGAGGGGATACAGTAGTCTCTGTGCCCTTGGGGACATTGGCCTACCCTGCCTCAGTGCTCCTGGAGCTGACTCACAGGCCAGGGGACAAAAGTCAAAGTGCCAAAGGTACTAAATTCAGTGTATGATTTGCTGATATCCCCTGCACCTGGAGAAGCAAAATAAAATAAAATTTCCTCTAGAGGAAGATCGTTCATCCCAGACGAACAAAAAGATCTCTACAAATCTAATGTCTGGCACAAAGTCCAAGATCATCAAATTCATAAGAAAAAATACACATGCCATGAAAATACAAACGTCATGACTTAAGCAGCAGAAAAAGGAAATCAGTGAAAATAGCCCCCCCACCCCCCACAAAGATCTCAGATGTGAAACTTATCAGACTAAAACAATCGCTTCCTGTGTTTAAAGAGATAAAAGATAATCGAGGAAAATATTAGGAAATTAGCAACCACAAAATGTGATGTAGAAGACTAGAAAAAGGGCCAAATAAAACGTCTTGGAAGAAGATGGTGGATAGTTGTACTCGTCAATGACAGAGGTTTGACAGACAAGTAAATTGGATGGAGACACGGGAGAGGATGAAATGTGTAATGAATACATGGACAATATTCCAACTTGCAGTCTTGGTTGGATAAGGAGGGAAGTGAAGCTAGCAGAGCCAGAGAATGGTGACAATGCCCTCAGGGGAAGCTGCTTTGCAAAGAGTTCTGAATGCTTCAGAATGACTTCTAGCATTATCTTAGAGCAGTGGGTCTCAACCTTCCTAATGCCGTGACCCTTTAATACAGTTCCTCATGTTGTGGTGACCCCCAACCATAAAATTATTTTCGTTGCTACTCTATAACTGTAATTTTGCTACTGTTATGAATCGTAATGTAAATATCTGATATGCAGGATGTATTTTCATTGTTACAAATTGAACATAATTAAAGCATAGTGATTAATCACAAAAACAATATGTAATTATATATTGTGAAATATTTATTTCTAATTATAAATAAATGAAATTTTGTCTTGAAGCATGGAGACGGATAGAGGAGTGGTGTCTCGGTTCCTAAGACCATCGAAAATATGTGTTTTCCGAAGGTCTTAGGCGACCCCTGTGAAAGGTCGTTCGACCCCCAGAGGGGTCGAGACCCACAGGTTGAGAACCTCTGTCTTAGAGAATCCAGGCAGAAGTTAGAGAACAGGATATGGACCTTGACACAAAGAGTGTATTCTCAGAGGGGATAGTTGGTCTAGGGGGCAATTAGTTGTTTCAGAAGCTCTTACTAAGGAATATTTTAATGCACGAGGGAACCATTGTAATGTACTAAGGCAGGCAGCTGACAATGTCCTCAATAGCCCCTGAACTGTCTGGCTCGAGCCTAGATATAGTGTTGAGCTGTGTTGGTTCCACTGAAGAGTTAGACCACTCTGAATTTGTTTTGAGCTAAGATTTCGGACTGGTTGTCAGAATATCCATTTGTGTGTATTCCTTTGAAGTTAGAAAAGGGCTGAATAAAATAGCTGGAATCATCACCATTATCATCAACATCATTATTACCCACACATTTCCACAAAAGCAGGAAAGAAATGTTTTCCCAACACATACTGTGTATTGAGACTTGGATGCAAAGAGTTTGCCAAGAAGGGAGAGAGGAAGGTGGGGAGCAAAGGATATTAACTAAAATTGTTTAGATGGTAAAAAAAAAAAGCACAGATGGAAAGCCTGCTGTTTGCCACTCTAATAGAATCACCATCTGTATTATTATTAAAGTTTATTGTACATGTTTCCTGATTGCATATATTTTTTTTTTATAGAACAACAACCATCACTAGCCCCTGAGGGCTGAGCCTGTGATAAGTCACTTTCAGTTTTACATCCTTGAGCTGTCACCAAGAAGTGCTTCAAATCCCCGAGTCACAATTATTTTAAACATTTTTAGCTCTGACATTTCAGAAAATAATTCACGTCCTTCCTTCATAGGAATCATAGCTTATCTCTGCAGAAACACCTCTTCCCCTTGCATGAGGAATAAGGCCTGGCCTGTGTTCAGAGCTGCTGTGAGCCAAATAGAGAGGAGAACCCTAAGGTTTTTTGCACAGAAAGGAAGTGTCCCTGTGACGCTGTGGCTAAGCTGCTGGCACAGAAATACACGGCCGAGTCGCCTAGCTCTGCACGCTGGATCTTGAGAGTGGAGTCTGCCCCGTTGGACCTCTCAGCAGAAAATCGATTCTTAGGCAACTGTGCATCATCTATAGCAGCTTCATTCTCAAAGCGAATCAGAAGCTTCAGGCCCTGTTCCAGGGTCTGCTGGTACCAGTAAAGGGTTTGGTGATTAGAAACAGGATCATACCACAAAGCCACAGCCTGTCCTTTCCCCATGATCTTCTGTCTGGGGGACTGGATGACGCCACCTTCTGTGAGTTCTGTGCAGGGAAAAGACAGAGTTGGAAAATGGAGAAAGGAAATGACTGGAATAGCCACTGGAAAGATAAAATGCAGAAATCTTGGTGTTCTGAAGACTCACCTGTCCCCAGGAGACACAGGGTCACCCAGCAGAGGAGCCGGGTGCCCATGGCAGGGTCAGGACAGGAATGGGAGGTTCACGAGGGCGGGGTCCTCATGAACATGAGCAGAGGAGGGGCCACATCCCTTGTCCCCACAAGGCAGTTCCCACAGTGACATCACTGTCTCCTCAAATGCCCATAGCTTTGGAAGCCAATTGTAAACTATTGGGTTGTCGGAAAAGTCATGACGCAATTTTTGCAACGAAAAACAGAAAAAAATACGTCATGTCTTTTCCGACAACCCAATAAAACATACCTAGGAGTTTGTTAAACGTATCCATAGGCTGCATGTAAGTTCATCCAAGTGTCCTCACTCCACGCTCCACGGCTCAAGTGATGGGATCTCCACTCAATCTTGACATCACCCATCACCATCCCCTGACTCTCTGCTGGATGGCTCTAATGGCTGTGTCAAAGGCAACTTCCAGTTGAGATATTAGTGACCTCTTTGTGTTATCTGTAATTATCCTTCTCTGTGGATATTTCTCTTTGCTGAGATTCTCCATTCTCCCAGCGATGTAAGCTTAGACAAGGTGAAAGTTGGGGTAATTGCCATGGCTTTATCCTGGAAGCACCTCGAACTGACACACTTGAAGGCAGAGGGATAAAGGGATACCCTGAGCACAGATATGAGTTGGAAGGTTTTATTGTGTCTGAAGGTCAAAGATCAGTTTCTCTTTTACTTTAGCCAGTCTCCATGATGCATTATGTCCCAAAGCCTTCATCACGGTGTTGCCTCTGCTTTGAGGTCATAGATGTAATATCTTACATCTTATCTGGGAAGAAAACTCTCTTTTCCCTGAAAAAAAAACCAAGGTGGGTACAGCAACAATTAATATAAAGTTGAACATACTTTCTGGAATACTAAAAAAATTTACACCTCTAGCATAACTTACAATTGAATTTCAGCAATTAGTACCTGGTGCTTTTTTTTTTTTAAACGGGGCAACATTGGTTATCAACACACTTCCATTCTTTGTCTGAGTAGTGAGTTAGAAAGGGTTTGAGGGTTGGAGAGGCTGTGGAAGTTGGCATGAAATAACAAAACAGGGAACTGTGTGTACAAAGAGGTGGAAAGAATATAGCCATGTGCTGGGAGGTATTGTGCCACGTCTCAAAAACCGAGGGTTTACATGTGAAGGTTATCGAGTGAAGACCTGTAGGTATAGAATGACCAGAACCACCTATTTCTCGCATAAATTCTCTATCGTTGAGGTAGAAAAGCTGTTAGTCTGAGTCCAACTCATGTTGACACCAGTTAATCATTCCATGATGGGACATTTCTTGACATTGAGGTATCACTACTTGTTCAGTCCTTGTGACCAGGGGTTAAAGGTTCTGAATGACAACAGCACTAGGGTGGGTGGTGACTGGGCGTTGGAGATGGGGGCCTATCAGGCTACAGATGAAATATTTGAAATCGAGGCATGCCAATTCCTGGGAAGAAATTCCCCCATGTGTTCCCAGGACTTCCTGTTTCCTGGGCAGCACAACTGAAGAAATCCATGGCAAGATCTGTGTCGGGGCAGGAAGGAGGCATCTTGCTGATCAAGGGAGGGAAGCCTGGAGTTCTGGGAAATCTGATTCTCGTTAAGGATATTTGTAGCATTACTGCAGCAGTTTGAGACAAGCCCAGACAAGATCTGGAATTATCTACTCTCCTCCCCTACATTCGCTTCACATTGTCCTCTACAGCATAGGGCACACAACCAAGATGGGTTAGGCTTGGGGGACAAGTGCCTATCTAAAGTTTCTCTGATGACCTCCCATGGCAGTTTTGTCCCATTTGTAGGGTCTCTAAGTATTCTCCTAGCTCCTGGCTCTCCTCTGTCTTCACCCACACAGGCTCAGAAGATTCGCCACTCGGTCGGCATACCAACTGTTGACATTTTGCAATATTTGCTTCATCTCTTTCTGTATATTTTACCCTTAACTTCAGAAATATTTTATCCTTAATGATTCAATAGGTGTCTCCTTTAAAAAAGGGCATTCTCCTACACAACCACAAATGCCATTAGTAAAATAAAAAAAAAAGAAAAAAAGAACATTCACATAATATCGGGGTGTCGGAAAAGTCATGACATATTTTTTGTTTTTTTGTTGCAAAAATGCGTCATGACTTTTCCGACAACCCAATATTATCTAATACATTTATGCTTCATGAACAGCTTTCTTCAGTGGTTGTTTATCAAATTATGATCCAGCGAGCCGGGCGGCTCCCATATTATAATTAGGTGATCTGTAACGGGTATCTAACAAGTTCACCAAGCCATGGAAAAAGAGAGTTGAAGGGTGCCTGTGCAGAAAACAGTTAACACAGCAGGCCTAAGACTTCCATGCTTACAAAGCCCTGCTTGTAAGACTGGCCCTTGGCTTGGCATCTGAGAACTTAGCTGGTAACCAGTGGCCTGTACTGATATGAACTTTTCCTAACTGAGAAGGGTGCTCATTGCACCTAGACTGTTAGTGCAAACAACATAGTTTATGCTGAACACCAGATTTCCTTCTGGGGTTCTAGATTTTTAGTGCCTAGTAGGCAGTGGGTGCCTATGTGATCAGCTCCCAGTAAAACCCTGGGCACTGAGTCCCTACTAGGCTCCCTTGGCAGAATCATCACACCCGTGACCTGTGTGTGACCCCTCCTAGGAGGAAGAGACAGCATAAGAAAGCCTTCATGTGCATCCTTCCAGGTTCCCACTCTTGTCTTTTTCCTTTATGATCTGCCACTGAATACATACTGTGTCACTGATAAATCTTAGCCATCATCGCAACTCTATGCCATCTCCTGTGGGTCCTTCTAGCAAATCTCCAAACATGGAAGTGTACTTGGGGACCCCCAACAAAGTGCAGCAAGATATTTTTAAGGGGAAAGGCTTGGGTTTGGATTAATAATTTTTACCCACATCCCACTGATCAGAACTTGGTCATAGGTTCCCAAACCTCCAACTACAAGTGAGACTGGGACTCACAGAGGTGTCCTGGGGATTTGGTGAGCATGACCGTTTTCTCACACTAATTCTTCATCGCTTGTCTCTATCCCTCAGGTCTCTTCCCAGCCTGTAACTTACTTTTGCATTTTTTTATGGTTGTGTTTTGATACACAAGAGTTTAACTTAATGCAACTGAAGTTATAAATTTGTTTTTGTAAATATTTTTTATATTACATTATTTTTTATAAATATTTATATATTTTATAAATATTTGGGGGTCCTTTTGTGTCTTGACTAAAAAAAAAAAAATCCTCCCTCACATGAATGCCTAAATATATTTCCTTAATTTCTCCTAGTGAAATTTAAGCTTTACTTTCCATGATTAAGAGTAAGTGCGCCTGAAATATATTTTCGCATAAGGAATGAATCAGAGATCTAGGAATGCGAGGGAGAGACCTAGGTTCCGTGCAGAAGACATAGCCTGTAAAAAAGACCCCTGAGGCAGAGAAGAACATGGCACGTATGAGGAAGTAACTGGACGTCGGTGATTGAGGCTGGGGCAGACAGAGCAGAGGGAGACTTGTGCAAGATGGCGGTGGAGAGATGGGTGGGGGGCAAGCATGATGGAACCTTGCAGAGCTATTGCCCCCTAGACGAAAGGCAGCAGGGGCAGAGACCATCTGAGTGAAGGATTATGTTTGTGAGTTGAAGGGTGGTAAGAGAGTACAGGTAGATGGCTGAGGTAGATGAAGGAGACACTGAATTTCCTACTGGAGAAGAATGGGGGGGGGGCTTTGAGATTATCAAAGGAATCTTCATCTATCTCATTGAAGAGACATTTTCTTCTGTGAGGAGAAAGAGCTGCAGAGGAGAGAACCAGCAAGCTAAGGGTGTTGGGGTGAACTCCAGTCAGGCTGAGATTGGTGGAGGGATGGATTCAGCCCTGAGGGCCATATTGCCCCTGCTATAAGCTCCCCCACCCCCCGGGTTGGCAGGGCTTCCTGGGGTCTGGGCCAGGCCTTATGAGTGTGGTGCAATCTCAGTCTTTCTAACAACCCTTTTTTGTGCAGAGAGGAGGCGGCTGTGCAGCGCTGTGGAGTCACTGCTGGCACAGAAGTACACAGATGTCTGGGAGAGGGTAGCCGACTCCAGCGTGAGGGGGAAGTTCTCTGTTTCTGATCTGGAGACACTGTACCCGTCGGGGACATCTCCTTTGTCGGTGCTCCCTTTAGTGATTGAGTAATAGATCAGCCTCAGCCCATGGCCCGAGTCTTGTCGATACCAGTACATGGAGTTATGGTTATCAGTCTGGTGACATCTCAGAGTCACTTCCTTTCCGGTCCCTGTGACCTTGTGTCTTGGGCTCTGGGTGATTCCGGCATCCATGTGTCCTGTAATAGAAAGTGACAGAGCCTGATGTTGTCATCCTAAGAGAAAGGCTTGTACTGAGGTCTTGGAATTCCAGGGAAGGGACTCACCTGGACTCACCTGCCCACAGGAGACAAAGGACCACACAGAAGAAGAGCCTGGTGGCCATTTCAGGTCCAGGGCAGAATCTCGTGTCTTCCAGTGCTGTTTTGAGCAACTAGACCTTGGGCTGTCAGTGACTCGATGATGTCACTGTCCTTGACAAATGCTTGAGCTGCAGAGCTAACCTGCCACACCCCTTCCCCACAGGAACAAATCAATCATATAAAGTTGAACAGCTCAGAATGGGAAGAATCTGTTCTGTTTTTTAAAGAAATCTTATACGTTTATATGCGTTTCCCCTGCTTTTTAGTAAGGAAATTTGTTCCTTTATGCATAATGATACAATTCCTTATTTGTAGACTGTTATCATTTTTCTGTAGACTAAGAAATATTCTCATGGCAGTTGTAGTACTTTTGTGACTTCTCTGCTCAACATTTACCTCCAAATACCTTTCACTAGTTTTTTTCTTTGCTTAAACTCTGGATAATTTGGATGTCAACCTATAATGATTCACTTTGTTAAAAGAACCACCTGATGTCCAGAAAGTTTTCAGTCTCAAGGTCAGGGTCATTGGAATTTGAAGGATTGTTTTATGTTGTCTCACAGTTTACCCAACTCATGGGAGCCCTGCCATCTGTGATCAGGTGTGTGTGTGCTCATGGGTAAGAGTCCTCCCTTTGTCTCACGTGAGGCCACAGTGAACTTGGCCATCTAAGTCCCCATGACTGAGCTTTCAGTGCAACAGAGAGGAGGCTTGTTAGCAACGTGGATGCGATCTCTGCCCCGTGGTGCCCGATCTGATGCCTCCAGGCTCAAAGGGAAAAGTTCTGTCTGCATTAAGAAGGTCTTGCACCCACCAAATAGAAAATATTGGTTGAGTCATAAGTGTGTTATAGTTAGTGCGAAGCTTACACCTAGTCAATATCAGTACGTGCTGCTACTTCTTATCCAGGTCATACATCAGTGTGAGGCTTCTCTCCTCGTGTGACTCATGTCTGGGTTGCAACTATGTTCACACGACAGGGAGGAAGGTCATGGAGTCAGATCAGTGGTGTGGAGGAGGCTAATGTAGCATCACGTGGAAAGGCTCGCAGCTGGGGCCTGGCAAACCCAGGAAGGGCCTTCGCTTCTACGGAGGGTGCCAAACACTGTACACACATTTTAAGAAAAATAAAAACTGTATGAAAATTGTAATACTCAATATATACCAATAACAAAAGATGAATACAATTATGTGCATACATTTTTTTTGGCACCACTGGCATATCCAGGACTAGGGTTCCAGGAGACCAAGAGCCACACAACGAAGTTGCCCAAAGCTGGGTAAGTGCAAAAAAAAAAGGAGGGGGGCCTCAGGAGGTTTTCTGCTAGAACTCCCATTCTTTGGGGTAGGGTAGGTGGGCTGAGGATGTGGTGGAAGGAACTAGGAGCTCCACTCTGTGGTCTCTCTTTAGCGGAAACCGGCCCTTCTTCTATCAGCTCTTTTGTGTGATCACCAGTCCCTCTGAAGCCAGGACTTCTGGGAGCATTACAGCTTCTTGCACATCACACGTGATCTGAAACGGGAAGTGCTGTCGTGGGTCCCATTTTCATTTTTCCTTAAAAGGCCACCTTTTTTAGTGAATTTCATCTAATAAATGATCAGATGACAGGATTTGCATTTCAGATGGCTTTGTGTCTAGAACACAGGTGAGTCAGGCAAAAGTAACCCTGTCGGCTTTGATGCCAGATTTGCACATGGGACATAATGGTGCTCGACCTGAGATGTGTCAGCGTTCACAGGGAACTAAGATTTCTTAAGCCTGTACTTGGTAGGAGGCAATTTGTTTCATTTGCTTGAGTAAAAACTATGCAAGACACATCTTCAATGGTGTCAGAGCCAGCATTTCTGAAAGGGACGTTTGGGTCAATGTTCTAATTTTGAAGATGTCTCTCTCTACCAAAATGTGGAAGGATAGACTGGTTCAAAGCAGCGGTGATTGTCGGTATGGCCTGTGTTTGAGTCCCAGTTCTGGTATTTGCTAGCTGTGCATCCTGTAGTAAATTATATAAACTCTCTAACAATCAGTGTTTTCACTTAGAATGTGGGGAAGTCGTGCTACCTCACGGAGAAAATGAGCAATATATAAGACAACAGAATTAAATGCACAATAGGGGTAGAATTAAAGCATCTGCATTCATGAGTAAACTTGTACCTGCAGTCCGCAAATGGCTACACCACAATACAGTGAATGGCTGTGACCCTCAGCTGTTTTCTGCAGGTCCTCACCTGGGCAGAATAGCAATTGCAGATTTTCTGATCTAAAGTGGTGGCCCCAGGGCAAGCTGCTCCCTTCAGAGACCCTCCCTCCTCCACACCTTCCAGTCCTTTAGAAGCACGAATTCCCTGTATTAACTCCCAGAGCTCCAATTGAAATAACTAGAGGACTCTTTCCTTGGCTGAATCCTCTGAGGTCCAGAAATCCCCCTATTCACCTAGGGGGGATATCATGGCCCTTTTCTTTGAACTATGACACGGAAAACACACCCTCCCTGGCTTCAAGTTTTATGTCCTAGAAGTTTGCAGGCAATCGGTTGTCATGACCACACACAATGAGTTGTGACACCCTCCCTTCAGCCCCCCATCCAAGCTCAGCTGGTCTTGAAATGGAACAGACAGTGCTCTGTTATCTCTATGAACAAGGCCCAGGAAGCACCATGGGATTTGAGGGGCATGTCGGCTTGGGAGGTGTGGANCAGTGACTCGATGATGTCACTGTCCTCAACAAATGCTTGAGCTGCAGAGCTAACCTGCCACACCCCTTCCCCACAGGAACAAATCAATAATATAAAGTTGAACAGCTCAGAATGGGAAGATTTTCTAAGTCACTTTTTAAAAGAAATCTTATACATTTAAATGTGTTTTCCCTAACTTTTAGTAAGCAAACTTGTTCCTTTATGCATAATGATACAATTCCTTATTTGTAGACTTATAATTATTCTGTAGACCAAGAAATATTCTCCTGGCAGTCCTGTACTTTTGCAACTTGTCTGCTCAACATTTACCTTAAATACCTTTCACTAGTTTTTCTCTTTGCCTAAACTCCGGATAATTTGGTTGTCAGCCTGTAATGATCCACTTTGTTAAAAGAACTGTCTGATGTCCAGAAAGTTTTCAGTCTCAAGGTCAGGGTCACTGGAATTCGAAGGATTGTTTTATGTTGTCTCACAGTTCACCCAACTGACGGGAACCCTGCCATCAGCGCTCAGGTGTGTGTGTGTGCTCATGGGTAACAGTCCTCCCTTTGTCTCAGGTGAGGCAGCAGAGGACTGGACCATCTAAGTCCCCACGACTGAGCTTTCTGTGCAACAGAGAGGAGGCTCATTAGAAATGTGGGTGAGATCTCTGCCCTGAGGTGCCCGATCTGATGCCTCCTGGCTCATAGGGAAAGGTTCTGTCTGCGTTCAGAAGGTCTTGCACCTGCCCGAATGGAAAAGTATTGAGTCATAAGTCTGTTATAGTTAGTGCGAAGCTTACAGCTAATCAATATCAGTACATGCTGCTATTTCTTATCCAGGTCATACGTCAGTGTGATCTTCTCTCCTCGTGTGACTCATGTCTGGGTTGCAACTATGATCACACGACAGGGAGGAAGGTCATGGAGTCAGATCAGTGGTGTGGAGGAGGCCAGTGTAGCATCACGTGGAAAGGCTCGCAGCTGGGGCCTGGCAAACCCAGGAAGGGCCTTCGCTTCTACGGAGGGTGCCAAACACTGTACACACATTTTAAGAAAAATAAAAACTGTATGAAAATTGTAATACTCAATATATACCAATAACAAAAGATGAATACAATTATGTGCATACATTTTTTTTGGCACCACTGGCATATCCAGGACTAGGGTTCCAGGAGACCAAGAGCCACACAACGAAGTTGCCCAAAGCTGGGTAAGTGCAAAAAAAAAAGGAGGGGGGCCTCAGGAGGTTTTCTGCTAGAACTCCCATTCTTTGGGGTAGGGTAGGTGGGCTGAGGATGTGGTGGAAGGAACTAGGAGCTCCACTCTGTGGTCTCTCTTTAGCGGAAACCGGCCCTTCTTCTATCAGCTCTTTTGTGTGATCACCAGTCCCTCTGAAGCCAGGACTTCTGGGAGCATTACAGCTTCTTGCACATCACACGTGATCTGAAACGGGAAGTGCTGTCGTGGGTCCCATTTTCATTTTTCCTTAAAAGGCCACCTTTTTTAGTGAATTTCATCTAATAAATGATCAGATGACAGGATTTGCATTTCAGATGGCTTTGTGTCTAGAACACAGGTGAGTCAGGCAAAAGTAACCCTGTCGGCTTTGATGCCAGATTTGCACATGGGACATAATGGTGCTCGACCTGAGATGTGTCAGCGTTCACAGGGAACTAAGATTTCTTAAGCCTGTACTTGGTAGGAGGCAATTTGTTTCATTTGCTTGAGTAAAAACTATGCAAGACACATCTTCAATGGTGTCAGAGCCAGCATTTCTGAAAGGGACGTTTGGGTCAATGTTCTAATTTTGAAGATGTCTCTCTCTACCAAAATGTGGAAGGATAGACTGGTTCAAAGCAGCGGTGATTGTCGGTATGGCCTGTGTTTGAGTCCCAGTTCTGGTATTTGCTAGCTGTGCATCCTGTAGTAAATTATATAAACTCTCTAACAATCAGTGTTTTCACTTAGAATGTGGGGAAGTCGTGCTACCTCACGGAGAAAATGAGCAATATATAAGACAACAGAATTAAATGCACAATAGGGGTAGAATTAAAGCATCTGCATTCATGAGTAAACTTGTACCTGCAGTCCGCAAATGGCTACACCACAATACAGTGAATGGCTGTGACCCTCAGCTGTTTTCTGCAGGTCCTCACCTGGGCAGAATAGCAATTGCAGATTTTCTGATCTAAAGTGGTGGCCCCAGGGCAAGCTGCTCCCTTCAGAGACCCTCCCTCCTCCACACCTTCCAGTCCTTTAGAAGCACGAATTCCCTGTATTAACTCCCAGAGCTCCAATTGAAATAACTAGAGGACTCTTTCCTTGGCTGAATCCTCTGAGGTCCAGAAATCCCCCTATTCACCTAGGGGGGATATCATGGCCCTTTTCTTTGAACTATGACACGGAAAACACACCCTCCCTGGCTTCAAGTTTTATGTCCTAGAAGTTTGCAGGCAATCGGTTGTCATGACCACACACAATGAGTTGTGACACCCTCCCTTCAGCCCCCCATCCAAGCTCAGCTGGTCTTGAAATGGAACAGACAGTGCTCTGTTATCTCTATGAACAAGGCCCAGGAAGCACCATGGGATTTGAGGGGCATGTCGGCTTGGGAGGTGTGGAGATGTGGGTTTGACTCCTGCCTCTGATCCGTTAAATAGGAAATATTTGGACCTTCCAGCAGCTACAGCTTCCTATCTGTCATATGGGACTGAGATCTCCTTCACCTGCAGTGGGAACACGCTAATGTTGACCTTGCATTAAGACACACAATGTGTACCTGCACTGTAGCACAGGCCAGGTGCTCCTGCCACATGCTGGGAACTAGAAGGTGCTGGCAGAGCTGTGAGTCTTTCAGGAATGCTCTGGCTGAGCTCAGTAGGGCTGGGAGGGCTTTCGAAAAGAGCTAGAAGTGTCCTGGAACTCGGCTAAGGCCCCACCCTCTCCCTCTAATTCCTCAGCTGGGACAGGAAGGTTTGAGTACAGAAAGGCATTAACCCTGCAGGGCTGTGTCTAAGCTGCTGGCACAGAGATACACAGCTGAGTCTTCCAGCTGCAAGTTGTTCATGGTCAGCTCTGAGCTGTAGTTGTTGAACTGTTGAGCTGAGAAGCGATCAGGGATGTTTCCTTTCTCTCTCTCCTCCTTCTCATAATACTGAATGAGGAACTGGGGGCCCTGCCCCTGAGCCTGCTGGTACCAGGACACAGTATTGTGTCCAGACATGGGGTGGCATGTCAGAACGGCCTTCCCCTCACGGCGTTTGATGAGGTGTCTTGGGGACTGGGTGACTCCAACATCCACTGAACCTGTGGAGGAAGGAAACAGAAGCTGGAGACTAGCACAGGAAGGAGCTGGACACTCTAGAAACAACAGTCAAGAAGTTTGAGTTCAATGGAGGTCGCTATGAGCTCAGGACTCACCTGCCTCCAGGAGACAGAGGGCCACGCAGCAGAGGAGCCGGGTGCCCCTGGCAGATGCAGACAGGGTAAGGCTGGCCATCTCCTTATGCGGGGCTCTGGTCTTTCTGGTGAGAACAGAAGTTGTGCGCCTCCCTTTGCTCTAATTGGAGGGCTTGCCTGTGATGTCACCATTGTGATGTCACTGTCCTTGTAGGCTCCCACAGGCACCCTGCATCCCCTGGACAGGCTGCATTGATCCAGGCCATCCCTCATATTGTGCATCTTCCTATGGAGCAGGTGTAGCTGGCTGTGCAGAGTGGGCCCNGGTAGCCCATGGCAACCCACTGCCACAGGGGCTGTAGCCTACGCTGTCGCCGGCGACGCACACCAGCCCAGCTCCAGGTTGTGCTGTTGTTCAGAATCTTAGCTGTGGAGGGCAGTGTCACTGGCCTTCATATGTGGGATCCGAACCGGGACCCTTTGGCATCCCAAGCCAGTTCTTAACCATCGTGCCACTCGGCCAGACCTGAAGCAATATTTTATATACATCCATATTTATGTCCTGTGCAAAAGAGCTAGCCTCTCAGATGGGAAGGGACATGATGGCACAGATGAGGGATTGAGCAGCATGGCTGGAACAGGAGAGGGCTGGGTGAGCTGTGCACGCTGGGGCCAGGGAGGTGGGCAGAGGAGACCAGCAGGGCCTTGTAGGGCGGCTGCCCTGGGTGGACAGGGAAGATGGACAGGAGCAGAGACCAATGAGAATGAGGGCTGAGGGAGGGCCTTAGAGAGAGACAGAAAAGGAGTGCCCATCGAGAGACAGGGGGATCTAGGTGGATCTAAATTACCAAAGATTTTCCATCCTGGAGGCGTCACACTCAGGCTAATGACTAGAAAAGCCAGAGCTGGGGAAGCCCCTTCCCTGCTAACCGATAGCTGCAGAGGACAGAGAGGCAGCATCGGTGGAGTCGTGGCTGCCTAAGGCCCCGGAACCAGTGCAGGCCTGGCAGACACTGCCCTGAACATGGACCTCGGCACACACCGAGGTTCACCCTGTATGCACAGGCCACTCAGGGCTCCAAGGTTCCCAGGGTGGGAGTTGAGGCTATACAGGCTCTGCTGAGTCTGGGGTGCAGAGTCTCCCCCTGCCTTTTTGTGCAGAGAGGAGGTGGCGGTGCAGTGCTGTGGAGTCACTGCTGGCACAGAAGTACACAGATGTCTGGGAGGGGGTAGCCGACTCCAGCGTGAGGGGGAAGTTCTCTGTTTCTGATCTGGAGACACTGTACCCATCGGGGACATCTCCTTGGTCGGTGCTCCCTTTAGTGATTGAGTAATGGATAAGCCTGAGCCCATGGCCCGGGTCTTGTCGATACCAGTACATGTAGCTATGGTTCTCAGTCTGGTGACATCTCAGAGTCACCTCCTTTCCTGTCCCTGTGACCTTGTGTCTTGGGCTCTGGGTGATTCCGGAATCCGTGTGTCCTGTAATAGAAAGTGACAGAGACTGATGTTGTCATCCTAAGAGGAAGGCTTGTACTGAGGTCTTGGAATTCCAGGGATGGTAGCCCACCTGGACTCACCTGCCCACAGGAGACAAAGGACCACACAGAAGAAGAGCCTGGTGGCCATTTCAGGTCCAGGGCAGAATCTCGTGTCTTCCAG